TTGTTGAAGACTGCAGGGAATGGATCGAGATTTAAAGGCGTTTTGCATTTTTACTTTCTATCCCCTTCTATTACAACACTTCCAACAACAATCTTTTTGCTGCAAATATTTGTCTCTGTTATAATCACAGTTAAAATAGTTCTTATGGTACTTTGAGGAACTGGGGGGTTTTCTATAGTACTTGCATCGCTTTTTACAAGATGATGAACCAGAATCACTTGCTCCAAAAGCTGAAATAGGGGGGTGGGGTGGGGGGGACACGCTACCACAGCCATCATGGAGCACTCACACATAATTTTGTTGCAGATTATACTTCTGAGCATCGCCAGCAATGACGGGGCCCATGCTGTGGACGGACCATGGTATGCCACTGAACCGATCATTCTTGAGCCAACCACGGGAAAACAGCAGCTCCCAGAACCCGTCCTGGGGCCCTAAACTCGTCAAACACAAAGTTGGGGCCAAAGTTCACCGAGCGCGCCGATTGGACTATACGGGCGATGACTACGCGCTTTTTCCGCCGGCGTCCAATCAGCGCGCTCCGCGAACTTTCGGCTCCAACTTTGTGTTCGACGAGTTTAGGGCCCCTGGTGTATTTCAAGTTAGGAGCATTAGGAGCCTGCCAACATTGGTCGTCAGCTGCGATGCCTCTACAAAAGCCGCTATCCCATGCCGGTCATTCGGGGCACGCTACCACAGCCGTGATGGAGCACTCAAACATATTTTTGCTGCAGGTTGGTTATTTGAAAACTTCGGCCTGCTGTGATTCTAGCAACTAATGTCTGCTAGTGGTATTGTGGCCCAGTGATGGCCAGATTTAACACAGCTCTCTCGAAATTTTCTGACATTTATGTTGTAAATTATTTTTTTTTTGATTGTACAGTTAATGACAACTAGTTACTTTTCAAACAAAAGTTGCTAGAATTTATTCTTGCCTTTGTTCTATGCGTTCGTATTTGGTTAGACAGCACTAAACCCTGGTACATGGAAGATTTTAAAAACTAGGTCAACAGAAAGAAAAGACTATTTAAGATAGCCAAAAACTCGAATTTCGAGACAGCCTGGACCAAATATAACTCTTGGGCCAAACTCTGTATCGAACGTATGCATTTCTTTGAAGACAAATTTTATAACTGAATTATAGAATAACCAAAAAACGTTTTGGAAACTTATTTTCTCATATCAGACATCCCGTTCAATACTCTTGATGAACAATGATGGCAGTGTTATTTCGGACACTGAATGTCCTACGGTTTTGAACAGTTCCTTTTAGTCTACTTTTACTGATGGAGATAGTTCCTTTTTACCTTTTGTACCAGATGTAGATTTTAGGTATATGGACCCTATTTCTATAACACCGTCTAAATTGCGATATTAATGATAACCTCAAAATTTTCAGCTTGGCTGGTGTCGACTCAATACAAAAATTCTAAAAAATACCAAGGGTTGTCACAAAAAATAGGTGACGAGGCGAAGTAAAACTGAACAAAATGAATGTTTAATGGGATGAACTTTGCCCAAATTAAAGGGAAATAACAGCACGTCGGAGGCGTCGAGTGTCTTCAATACAACAGGGTCGAGCACAAGCGATAACTGATTGCATGAGGCCACGCGGGGCTTCTTTTATAGCACTCTCCTTTCTAGAACATTCTGTACTCAAACATTCTGTACTCGAACATTCCGTACTAGAACATTCTGTTCTAGAATTAACCACGGCCTTCTCAAATTTTCTAGAAGCATCGTCTTAGGAATAAATAAAGACATCTGCCGGTCCCAGGATTCAAACCCGGGACCTCTGCATGACAGTCGGGCGCGGTGCCCCCTGGGCTACCCCTAAGCACGCAGTAATATGCAGTCTACTTTTCCAGCATTCATCCACTGGTTGCATCCCACCCGAGTGGAAGGTTGGGAAGGTCGTTCCAATCTACAAAAGTGGCGACCGTCACTCTGCGGGAAGCTACCGTCCCGTATCATTAACCAGCGTTGTATGCAAGTTGTTAGAACTCAAAATATTTTCTCATGTAGTATCGCATCTGGAATCTACTAACAACTTTTTCTACCAAAATCAGTGCAGGTTTCGTAAAAGATATTCATGCTAGAGGCAGTTGCTGGAGTTCACCCGTGATATTCATGTTAATATGAACACTAGGTCTCAAGTATGATGCTATATTTTTTATTACTCTAAGGCTTTCGATCATGTATCTCACTGTCATTTAATATCAAAACTTTCCTCACTAAATCTTGATTCTCTCACTTTATCATGGATTCGAAATTTTCTTCGTGAAAAACAGCACGAAAGGGAAAAGGACAAAAAGGAAGGACTACATAGGATAAGTGCTTACTAACAACTCATCTTTCATTGGAATGTGTAGATGGCACTATGTTCGCTCGGGTATAAGGCGCACCGTGGATTTTGCACTTCCTTCTTCTTCATTGCACACTCCACATGCTAACCAAGATTCAGAAAATGAATCTCACTGTTCGTTGGAGTCAGTGAAGGTTGGCTCACTCAAGATGGTCTGTTTTTTATTATGTAATAGGTTTCCTTCATTTCTCTACACATTTGGTCTTGGTGTTTAAACAATACAATGGTGTTGGAGAACTGCAGTTTGCACCGCAATCTCGACAGTGCTCCGCTAAATGCTAGTATGCGCTCCCTTGCAATGAGCTTTGGTGTTCTCAGAGTCCGATGTTCAGGCATCGCCTGGTCACCCAGGTATCCTGGTCACCAGATAAAAATCAGAAACATTAAAAGATATATTTTTTTTAATTATTGGAACTTTAAATATTCTTAAGTGTTTTCTGTATGCCCAGTAACCTATGGGGCTATCATGTAATGAATACTCTAACTTGCCTAATTTCTGTGTCCTGGCCCCTTTCAAGTGATTTCATTTGGGTTTACAGCTTTCTTAAATCACACTGGCACCTGCAGTGCACTTACGTGCAACTCATAGTTTGCAGGTATCGGGTGGTTTAGTTTGTCATTGCATTCTGTTCAGAACCTAACCACATTCCACATTTTTTTGTTTTTCTTTGTTTCGAGGTTCTATAGTTCATATAGACTTGATTGCTGTGCAGGTTACGAACATTGCCTTCCACTTGAAAGCTGGACGTAACCCAGTAATTATTTTTCAAGAATAAAGATACGAACATGTTTTACTCAGTGCTGCATCTTGTGTGCACTTGCTTGACATTTCTTACTAACACAGTGTTCGAACACCTATCTCTGGGAGGTGCACTTGGCAGTAACCCCTGAAATTAACTTGTGACAGCAGGCTTGAAGAAACTCATTAAATGTGGAAATTTCATTTTGAAAGGTATTTTCCGAACTTGCCTTGTTAAAATGGTTTCATAGCATAAGTCACACGTTGGTTTCACTGATTTGTGCCTGCCAGAATGAATCTGAGTTACCTGCACTGCGCTTATGTATAACTCATAGTTTGCAGAAATCGGGAGGTTTAGTTTGTCATTGCATTCTGTTCAGAACCTAATCACATTCCACTTTTTTTTTCCAGGTTCTGTAGTTTTCCGTATGGACTTGATTGCTCTGGAAGTTAGAGATTACTTTCCACATAAAAGCTGGACATGGCCCACTAATTATTTCTCAAGAATAAAGGTATGAACACGTTTTACTCCGTACTGCATCTTATGTGCGCTTGCTTGAAATGTCTTACTAACACAGTGTGTAATTATCTCTGAGAGACACAGTTGGCAGTAACTTCTGAAAATAACTCGTGACAGCATGCTTGCAGAAACTCATTGATTGCAGCAATTTTGTCTTCGAAGGCATTTTCGGACTTCCTTTGTTAATTCGTAGCATAGGTCTCAAGTTGGTTTTGCTGTCTAGTTCCCGCGAGAGTTAAGCTGAGGCTCTTGCAATGCGCTTACGTGTAGCTCATAGTTTGCAGAAATTGGGAAATTTATTCTGTCATCGCACTCTGTTAATAATCTAATCACATTCCATATTTTCTGTTTTGCTTTTCCAGGATCTGTAGTTCTTCATATGGACTTTATTGCTCTGAAAATCAGAGATTGCCTTGTACATGAAAGATGGAAGTGGCCCACTAATTATTTCTTGAGAAAAAAAGGTATGAACATGTTTTACCTAATACTGTATCTTGTGTGCACTTGCTTCAAATTTCTAACAGTGCTTAAGCACCTGCTAACCGCTGGGATGCACAGCTGGCGTTAACTCCTGAAAGTAACTTGGGCCCACAACCTAATCACATTTTATGGTCGCTAGATATTTACTTTGAATTGTTCCCGCATCAAAAATTAGTTGGCGTGTTGTCCGTAACTTGCGGCGGCAAAAAGCTGCAACTCTCAATCACTAAGCTGCACGTCATGCGTGATAACGGGAATCATTCAGACATTAAAAATTAGCTGCCGTGTTTTCCATACCTTCCAGTAACGGCTAGAGCCTGTTGAACTGCTAGCTGCAATGATCTAATAAAACGGACGTCTCAGTGAACAATAATTATATTAGTAAAATGCTATATTTATTGTTCACTGAGACGTCCATTTTGTTAAGTCACTGCAGCTAGCAGTTCAACAGGCTCTGGCCGTTGCTTCAAGTTACGAACAACACTCCAGCTAATTTAAACGATTCCCGTCGTCGTGCGTCATGTGCAACTCTGTGATTGAGAGTTGCGGTTTTTTGCCGTGGCAAGTTACAGAAAACATGGCAGCTAATTTTTGATTCCGGAACAATACCCGTATCCGTGCATCACGTGCGGTACAGTGACTGAGAGTTACAGTTTTCTGCCATGATTCTACAGGTCAAGTTACGGGGAAAATCGTGGGGCCTCATTACTGTCATGCACGTAATACATAGTTAAAGCTGTGACCGTGATGGAAGACAACACTAATTGTATCGACATCAAAAATTAGCTGGCAATTTTTATTAATTTGACGGAATTTGTTTTTACAGTGAATGTACTTTTTGTCAGGATCCGATGAGCTTGGATTGTGTCTAACTCTTGACCGGGAATCTCTGACGAGTCCAGCGTGTAATCCACGGCGAAAGGCCCTGTACAGCGCTATTTGTAAGTGCTTTTTATTCAAATAGTCCGTGAGAGACGTTATGATTCGTTATTTTTGTGTTCGAAGTCATGTTTATTTCATTTTTGCTGTTAAAATATGGCTGTCTTCTTGGCGGTAGATGTGTGGTGTAGTAAAGTCCTCCCAGTAGGTCCAAAGCCGAATGCCACAGAGTGTTGAGTTAGTTCTTATTTGCCAAGATTCGGCTTGTTGGGCGCGACTGGAGTGTCAGTTACGTCACTGCGATATGTGAATGCATTTGCCAGGAATTATCTTTACTCAACGAGTTCTTTTGTTATGTGACTGATTTATTTTAAATTCTTGATTCATTCTAATGTCATGTTCTGTTCAACTGTCATGTTCTTTCGTATAACAGGGTATTTATTGGACTGTTAATTTAGTAGTACATTTGACACTGGTTAGCTGAAGAGGGAGGCTAGCGGTTTTATTTTTAACTTGTAAATAATATGGAGGTAATATGGGTACATTTATGACTACATATTTCTGTGCCGCAAATACCGTAAGTCTTAAAACATTCTTTTTTTTGTTTTCAAACCAACATAGAAATATAGGTGTGAACTTAAATGGCAAGTTTGTAATTATCAGTTCTTAAAAACACCTGAAAAAAAATTTTTTTTTGTAAAGTCTTGTTGGGGCACGCGTGTCAAAGAAAATTGAAGCAAAAAAAAGCATTTTATTTTAGAGAAATATTGATGGCGCGAGGTGCCTTGCAATTAAGTCAGTAGTCACCTCCTTTCAACTGCTTTTCTCTTGGCATTCGGGCGTGTGGAGGAGAGGTGGATCGGCTTCGCCTTCACGTTGAGGTGGAAAGAACGAATGACCATCTCGTTGAGGTGGAAAGAGCAAATGACCATTCTGTCATGTCATGGACTTTGCCCGCATAATTTGAAATCAATCTTTTGCCGTCAATATTGCTCTAAACATTTTTTTTTCTCATAAAATTAATTCTTTTGACACGCGCGTCCCAACCAAACTGCTTAAAATAATTTTTTTTAAAGGCCCTTTAAAGCTAGATGAAGGGTTGAGGGTCACTATGATGTTGCAAGAGTAGGCCTAAGCAATTTATAAATGCACCTTCCTACTATTTGAAAAAAAAAAGAAAAAAAGAGCTCTAAATTCGACCTTGCAATGCATGTGCCTGCACCTGCATTCAGAGTGGCGCAACCAGTTCAATCACATGCACCAAGAAATTTCGAGCGCACATCTATTGTGCAGCTAGCTGCATGATGAAATGGCACACATGAACAGCTTGCTGACTATCTAGTAGTGTCGGTTGTGGCGGAGCTTAAGCAGGCCACAATGCATTCTTTGTTTTGACATGTGGCACATTTATCAATTATTTTAACTCTTGCGAATCATAACCTGTGTGTTCTTGGGTTGGGCTACTTTTATATATATATATATGTATATATATATATATATATATATATATTTATAGAATTTGTGCATTTTAGTATGTATAATTTTTTATTTTTTTATTAAGGTTAAATGGTACTTTATAGCAAATTAGCTCCTTGTAGAGCTGAAATTACATTTAGTCAATGATCTCCCCAAACTGAGATGTTTCATGCCTTCGCTAGCTTTTTTTTTTTTTTTTGTAAAGGTGTAAAATAAACTATAGTATACGGCAGCCAGCACTGAAACACAATAGATTGTTCACACTAATTAATCTATAAAAACTTGGACGATTCCACTTGGACAAATCCAGTTGTTAAGAAATTGCATTCATCCTACCCTTCGGGAAAGTCTGTATAAAAATAGAGCTATGTCTTTCGCCACTGTGGGCAGAGGCCAGCTAAATTGCTACCGTTGGGAAGGTGGAGGGGTGATGTGCAGGGAAGCTAAGCCCTATCCCTCTCTCCCATATTGTCTGCTATAATTGTTTCAAATGTCAGAAAAAAAGGGGGGAAGGCAACGGCCCCCTCCCCTTGCACCCTTGTCTCGATGCCACTGTCAGGGGGTAATAACTTGGGGATGCCATAAATAAATGCAACCACTTACGGCTGCCATTGCATACAAAGGAGAAAATACAGAGAGAGGGAGAGCGATGTGGATTATCTTTCTCTTAGGTATTCATGTCAGAAGGGGTACTAATGGTTGTGGATGGTTGGGGCTGAGCAAGATAGCCATGAGTGCTGCCTAAGTGTTCAGTTCGGACTCCTGTTCAATCGGCAAAAAAGCAAGTCCCAGTCAACTATTCAAGTATATCCTATGAATGGCTCCTGGGATTTTCGAATATGGTCTATTGTCTTGCAAATTAGTGTGCTGGTATTAACTAAGGGCACTTAGCAAGCTGTTTACTCATTTTTAATATTGCTGACTTTACATTAAAGCTGGTGAACTTTCAGCCTTCTGCAACGCATAGTTTTTTTTATTAGGTCCAAAAACGTTGGGTATATCTTTCTTGATTGGATTCTGCATTATTGTGATCATTCAGCTGTGTTGAATGAAACATATGAGTTTCTTATCCCAGCCTTGATATTTATTTTTTATGCAGTCGGGGGGTGGTGGTCATTGCCTTGATTTGATAGTGTTTTGGCATAGAATTTTAGGAATTATCGCCATATAAGAATACACTTACCATCAGAAAACTAGGCAACCTCATTCTTTGCAGCTCCTGCCATGGAGGTGGTAAAGAGCCTGGCAGCCCTGCTGAAGGATTCACCAGCTTCTCTCATTGAGAAGGTATGGTATACCATTCTGATATAATTTCTAACCTCTTAAACGAAGTGAAAACTGGCTCACATATCAATTTCAGTATGCATGGTAACTCAGAACCCTGCTCGCAGGTACCTGTGAAGCAAAAGCAGCCAGGGAGGCTGTTCTAAGAGCAGCCTCTCTGGCATCTCGTAGGAAAAAAGAAACCTGCAGTTTAACAGAAATTCATCATCACCAACTCGAAGAACACAAAAAAAGCATCGAAATAAATCAGAAGAGTAGGTTTAAAAAGATGAAGTTGTTTAAAAACTCGGTTTGCCAAAAAACTTTAAGAAATATTAGAATGTGACTAAATATGGTGAAGGAGATGTTCAAACACTTACTCTGCACCTGTTGCTGGGCTGACAGGCAGTATTGGTCTTATGCCTTCAGCCTCTATAAAAGATGCTCTAATAAAGCAACAAGCAACAGTGTTTTATATAGGCATGTACTATCTCAGCAGACTCCGAGCATACCGAGATACATACAATAAAATGCAAATAAGCCTGTCGTGCCTATTTGGTAATTCTGGCAATTTATAAAGACAATGTGGTGTGAAGTGGGGAAAGAAAGTTTAGGCTTCAATCTTTGAGCTAGTTGAAAGGCCAAAATTATAGCAAAAGGCAGGATATGGTGTTGTTGCTCTTATTGTGTGCTGGTGTAACATGAACAAATATTTTCATCTACAAATTCTCACTTTACTGAAGTGTACCTTTAATGGTGTGCTACTTGATGTGCTATTTGCATTGTGTTGTATTTTTCTGGGCCCATGAGGGGGCCACATATATTGCCGCGCATGATGTGGTGGCCGAGTGGGCACCACTCCTGGGTGTCATGCAGAGGCCCTGGGTTTGAATCCCGGAACCACTGCAGTTGCTTAATTACTCGAAAAACCCGTGGTTCTAGAAATTTCTAGAACATTGTTGTTTGTTCTAGAACAGAATGTTCTAGGGCCAAAAGTTTTAGTGGAAATGTTCTGGAATTGGGAACAGACTATAAGAAGAGCCCCGCGTGGTCAGTGTATTGCCAGCACTCGACTCTGCTGTCACACCGACATTCGATGCCTGCGACGCATGTTCTCCTTTTTTGTTTTGGGCACAAACGTTTCTTAAACGTCTATTTTCCTCAGTTTATCTTCGCTTTGTCACCTGTTATACGTTACGATATAGACGCTTTTACTGCACACCAGATTAGGGACACTATAACAGCCTTTTAGTTTTTCACCGAGGTGCTCAGCCACTGAAAAGGGCAATAAGGAACCCAAACAAAGTCCGAATTTGTGATGTCTAGAAAGTCAATAACCTATCGTGCGACATGTAAAGTGAAATGAATGAAGTTAAATTAAACAAAATGTGAAGATCAGTTATGGTTACACCTACGCACACCTGCCTGATAGCATCTCTGTACACTATTTATTTTGGCAGGCACTAATGAAAGCTTTATATTTGCCTTCTGTAAACTATTTTCATATTCTTTAGATTTCTTTTTGCTTGTGTGCATATGCATTTAAGAAATATTGCTGGCAAAAGACATAATTATTTGAAGTGCAGTAATTCTGTAATCAAGACTTGGTAGTATCTTGTAGTAATTAATGTCCTGTGGAGATGTATTTGCTAACTTTTTTTTCTTGGAATATAACTGCAATTAGGTGCTACAAAGGGGCTTTTGAGCCCACTGAGCCCACACCCATGTCTCAATGAGCACTATCTCATACTTTACAAATGTCTAAAAAATCAGCACAGGACACCGAGTACCCATCCCAGACTGACCATCAAGTTAATTGGGTTGCTCTTCCAAGTTCATCATGCAAAAAAGTGTGGAAAAAACGAGGGCGACATAGAAGAAACACGGGAGGAGCGCTGACTATCAACTAACAAATTTTATTATGAATACATATAAAAATGCCCCTTAAATCTGTGGCAGTGCGATCCCGTGCTAGGATATCACATGACTATTAATACAAGCATAATGACAGGGAATAAAAAGTTAGCCCAAATCTAAAAATTTGATCCCGCTTTCTAGCAGTGCCAATGAAGGTTGACTGATGTAGGTGGCTGTTATCTTTTTTTATTTGCTAGAAACTGCTAGAAAGTTAGAGCACATTTTTAGGCTGGGGCTAGCTTTTTATGACTGCTCTCGATTCCCTGCCAGCCGTGCAAGGCGCTTGCATCGGCAATTGGGCCGGCGGTAGAATTTTTTCGGCTCACTTGCAAAGCATTGGTGTGATAGGAAACTCTGCAACTGAACCATAAAGTGCTTCTAGTGACATTGCTCAGAACAACCTAAGGCATGGGCTCATATATGCAAAAATGGCCAGGTTAAACAATTGCTTGGTGAGAAGTCAAGAAAAATTGACTGTTTAGGTCTCCTAATATCTCATCGCAGCTGCCATTATTTTTAGATTCATGCCTTTCTGTCATTGGAAAGATTCTCACAGTATAGCTTCAATCATAAAATGGATATTTGATACTGTGATATCTTCCCTTTTTAGCTTTTGTCATGAGTTCATTAGCAAGCCCCTTTATTATAGCTTGTTTATTCAAACAGTGGCATTTAATTGCTTGATCTGTAGCATTTCTAGCTTTGATGTGAGGGGCAAAGTGAATGGAAGTACACCTCCTCCTTCTCCCCCCCTTTCCACCCCAGTTTTATTTTATATTATTTTCTTCTCTTGTAAATTCAGGGTGTCTAGAGACCTGAAAAACTGGGCATTGTCAGGAAAATTTTAATTACCGGAAAAAATCTGGGAATTGTCAGGGATATTGTCAAAAAGTGAGCCCAGTCAGGGAAAATGAGTCAGAAACGCTATTGAGTGCCCTGAGCAAAAACTTGAGGACTTGGGGGCAGAAAAATAGGCAATAAATTCTGCTTAGACCGGAGCGCAGGCCCTGCTCACCCAATGTAGAGTGCGCAACTCGATGCAAAGGCAACAGCCAACAAATCCAGTCCAAGCCTTGGATTGGATTGGATTGAGGGCACGATACTAGGCTATGTCCAGTTAGAGCTTCTAGATTTAGTAACAAATGGGAAAGCCACAGACACCAATCCAATCCAAGGATTAAGCCGAAAGTATTTGAAAGTGTGCATCTGGCGGCCATGCTGCCATTCGGTTATTAACGGGTATGGTTGAGCGTTGGTGTTTTCATTATGTTTCCGGAAGTCGCCTCCTACTGAAGATGTCGGCGGCAAGAAAGTGCTCTTTTAACCCGGATTGGACGAACTCGAATATTTCGGTATACGCAAGTTGGATTAAGCCCATGCAAAATGATGCTCACAGTGCTCAATGCTCAATGCCTTGTGTTGTAATGGTCTCATATATTGAACTGCCTTTACAGAGGTCAGGGAATTTCACCTGAAATTGTCAGGGAAAATCTGGAAAAGTTGGGGAATTTCAAAATAATAATTCGCTAGACACCCTGAAATTGCTGTAATTACCCCGAGGAGACTGAGTAGACTTTCTTTGGTAATTATCTTCCTTTGAAATACTACAAATTGCCCAAGTTTGTTCTTCACAGGAGGAGGATCATGTCCAGCCAGCCTTCCCTGTGATGCAAGTCAGGGGAGGGGCCTCAAGTTCACCACTCACAGTGGTGCTGGAGGACTGCTCCTTCGAGGTAACGGACATTGTGGCCGGTATTGCGCTCATTCTTGCGCTATACTGGGTCCATGACATTTCCTGCTGTCCAAAAGCATCCCGGTCGCTTGCTGTGATTGGCAACTTCATTGGCTTGACCTACAAGACCAAGTCATTCTTGGCACTAGATTTAATTTCAAAACTGGAAGATTGAGATCTTAAATGAGTGCATTTTTTTACATATACATTAAAATCTGTTTTTTTACGAGCACCGTATTACTGTTTTCACTCGACCTTGCATGAGGGCCTGTATGGGCACCCTCTGAAAAGGCTCATGCAACACCTTTCGTGCTGCATTCCACCCGTTCCTACAATCCATCGTCCTGTGAGCACATGCAGAATTCTCTTCGGACATTCGCATCCGTGCATTGCGGAGTGTTGTAGCTGTGAACAAGAAATGCCCATATTCGAGGGAAATAAACACCTTGCTTAAGGGATTCAATGTCTTGGAAGCTCTTCGTTTGCCCTTCTATAGAGTTCAGGCACACTACATGAAAGGGAAAAGATAACACCTAACAGAGTGCACTTTTAGCTCTGACGTAGAGCTTAATTAACACTTCTTATGGAGCTGAAGTTACCCTTTACGAGGGAGTTAATATAACTCTTGGCATGAGAGTGTAGCCTTGACCACTCATTAGAGTTGTTCTATTTGCACCTAAGAGAGTAGCCACAACATTCGCTTCGAGGGTACGTACAACACCACCTGTAGGAGTCTATGCTACTCTTCAAAAGTGTTAATTTTACAGCTCATTTCAAGGAGTAACCCTTACCCTAGAAAAGAGTAACACTAACTCTCGTCAAGAGTAACTCCTTGTTACTCTCAAAAGTGTACAGTCAACACCTCGTTTTGAAGAGTAATTGTAACTCTTGTCCAGAGTAACTCCTTGTTACTCTTAAAAGAGTAAAGTCAACACCTTCTTTCGAAGAGTAACCCTAACTCTCAAAAAAGGGTAGATTCTGCGACAAACCATTTACACTCCAAAAAGTGTTAAGATGACGCCTTTTTTTTTTTAGAGTGCACCAAATTAACTACGTTTGGATGCTGAGGATGCATTCGCAAGCTGCCTAGCAAAAACTGGTCGATGCCATGGAACTGACCATAAAGGGAGGGGGAGGGGGGGGGAACAGTGCTCCGTCATCGACCTGGTGAGCATGGCCGTGAAGGTACAGCTTCACTGGGCCCCGGACAGCGTCCCGAATCGCCAGGTGAAAAAAGAGCTGGAGCGTAAGGTCTCCGAGATCACCAGGGACCTCTTCCAGGAAAGGGTACTGGAGGGCGTCGAACCCAACACCCATAGTGTACGCCTGACCCTCAGAAAAGGCTACACCGCCGGCAGCCTACCCCACGAGCTTCGCCTGGAAGGGTCTAAGATGCTCGTTGTGGTGCCAGAACGCGCTCTGCTCTGCCTTCGGTGTCGTCGTACAGGACATATTCGCCGGAATTGCCGTGTCCCCCGCTGCGCTGACTGTCACTGTTATGCCCACGAGGCAGCGGTCTGCATCAAGACCTATGCCACAGTGGCCCCTGACCACAAGGCAGAGGACCAGACAGACTACATGGGCAAATCAGATTTTCCCCTCCCCCTGGGTCGCATATTTTACTAATGATGGGCCGGACTTTTGCGGAATCAAAAATTCGGCGCAACTTTGGCCGAACTTTTCTAAAGATTTGGCAATGATTCGGCAAAAATACATTTTTACCAGACTTAACATTGATATTTATTTGTCTCTGACGAAAAAAATGTTTTTTTTTTCTTAACATAAATACAAGATGTAGTCCCTATTGGCACAGTTATGACTAAATAAGGTGATATTCTACAAGATAATTGTGTCGATGTCGCTTTTGTGTGTTTACTGGCAATTTTAGTGTTTGCTTGCAGAAAGTGGCGCGACAGCGAGGTTGGGTAGTAGCCGGCGCAGTCACGAATCACGCGACGAGAGTTTTGATTTTGAGGTTTCATCAGCGCACGCCTGCAAGTCTGTGTACATTGTTAAAATAAGGGCAAACACTGCGTTTTTACTTTCTCTGGGAGTCACCGTTTCGTGCGCGAAAACGAATGCAACCGTTGCTGAGCCTTCCCCAGAAGAGATAGTAATATTACTGTAAATATGCATGTTTTCTGATTTGAGTCATTTGACGTCAGCTTTGCATGAAGGTGTACATTACATATTCGCAACGTGCCGTTTTTAACCTTTAAAACTTCGGTTTCTGGTGTTAAGACACACACGGACGTTTAGGAAGATGGGGAGAGTTAGGATTGTCGGATGTGCAACATCGAGCATGATAGTTCTGTGTTTAGCTTTATGCAGATACATGAAAATTGCGAAATAACGCGAACTAGAAAGTAATATTATTCTGTTTTGACACTAACTACTTGTGAGTTGAAAATAGGATTGTTATAATAATAATAATAATAACAATTTTATTTGCACATACTGCAAGGGGCCCATGTGATGGTGTGCGGGGCTAGGTAGATAGGCGAAAACCCTTTTGCAGAGCGCCTGCCAGCCAGACGTTTACGTAGTTCAACTACTTTACTCAAATTACTGTAGTTTAATTACTTTTCTCGGTAGTTTAGTAACTTTCAAATAGATTTCTATTCTGGCAATTAGTAGATTACTTTAACTACTTTTTCGAGTAACTTCTACTCAAATTACAAATTACTTTCGAATTTTAGTGGTTGTTTTGCCTATCAATAGAGATAAGATGTTAGAAGATCGGCTGATATTTGCAGAGGGGGAAGCATGTAGCGTACAAAAGGGGGGGGGCGAAGGAAGAAAGCAATTTGGATAGTCTAAAAAACCCAAAAATTTTAACGAGGCCCCCACAGCAGCACACTCTAAGAAAAAAAGGGTGTAGCCAGGTGTATCAGGCGCACATGCACCCTTTTCCTGAAAGATGCACTCTCCGTTGCCTAGCCAGTGTACTTGTACACCGACAATCAGCATCCTCCTCTCCCCTAAAAACCTCTAGGTGTATCAGTGCACCGCCAAGCCAGTCACGCGCCCCGATCAGCTTATGCTTGAATCTTGGGGGTCACTTTTGGGTTGGCGGTCACTTTTGGATGCTTGGGGGTCACTTTTGGGTGGGCACTTTCTTAGGAAGTATGGAGCTGTTCTGTTCACTCGGTAAGGACTAAAGAAACGTTTGGTCAATTACGGCCCTCATTTTTTATATTATATTGGATCAAACCTGTTATACCGTCAGGTGGTGCAGGTAGGGAGGAACAGTTTATTTCCTTTTTTTTATCTCTCACTTAGAAATTGAGTAATTGAGTAGAGTAGACGCTATGCCCTTTTTAGGCCAATCGTGCCTCCAGGTAGGATCACGTGACTACAGTCTCCAAGCTAGAGATAAGGCAGAGCACGGCACCTGCCTGAAGCCCAAGGCCACGGGTAGCATCCACTGCACTATAAACTTTGGGTGGAACTTTCAAGAGGATATAAGGGACAAATCCTCTCGTTGTGTTCATTGTTTGGGATAACCCTGAAGATAAGCCTCTGCGAGGGCACCCCCTTTTGGCCTTGAAGAAGCTGCTATTTTCCTATTCCTCTCTTTTTTCTTTCTTTCCCTAAGCTGAGACCGTGGAAAAAGTTGCGCAGTAGCCGGACCAATGAACCGGAGTCTTTTTTATCCCTCGACTCCACTGTCGGCGCGGGTAATGGCAGTTGCGTGATCATGTGGTAAAGGTTTCACGGATGACGTAGCAGTTCTTTCCAGTCCCGGAATGTCTGATTCTCGGCCTAGTTTCTTTTGTGCTGTGCTGCGACCAGCGGGGCTGCCGTAGATTTGGCCCGCGACACCGTATTCGAGTGCACCAAGGCTTCCAGTGTTTGAAGAGTACGCGTACATCGGCAACAAGCGAGTTCTTCGAGAAAGCCCAAGCTAGTCATGTGATGAGTTTAGTGTTCGGTTTGGCAAATTGCTGCTTCTTCCACATCGTGTTGAATCATCACAGACCCCTTTCTTTTCGTTTTTGTGTTTGTGTGGTGGTTCTGCAGTGCCCGTGTCGACATATATCTCGGATTACATATTTCAAGTCCGGTATTTTCATCGTAAGTACGCTGCTACCTACTCCTTTGCAGCAATTGACCGTTCCTTTCCGAATTACCTCTAAACTTAGGCAGTGTCTATTTCCTAGCCACCGAGAAAATAATTTCCTCAAAATTCTATCGGCAGTCACCTGCCATTAGCTGTCTACAATCGTGTGTTAACTGCAGGTAGAATACTGACTTTCTTATTCTCCCGGCGTTTTGTGAAAGCGCGTTTCATGGACACCTTTTCATTGATACACGTTGCGTCGACACTAACGTTTCATCGTCACTCGTTACGCGAAATGCACGCTGTAGGGACATGTTGTCGCGCCTGTATCTCTGAGGCGCCTGCTCACCAGACTTGTGCCCGTTACTCGAAAAAAAGTAATTAATTTACAATTACAATTACTTGACTTAAAATGTAACTGATTGCCGTTACAAATTACTAGCCGTAAAAGGTAATCGATTAATTACTTCGTTACTTGACTCGATTACTTTTGCGTTATTCCAAAGAAACTCACAAAAAACATTCAATTTTTACTGCGCGTTTTCGAGGCAGGATTTATTGTCTCATCTAAAATAAAACGCGGATCAAATGCACTCAGTAGAATTTGTCACATATGCTTAGGTTAAGAAGTCGAATGCATAAAATAGTAATTGTCAAACTGTTTTTTTATCGCCCCATATTTCCGGTTCCTATGGAGGTTCTTCAGCACCTCGCCTGTGTTTTATACCCTTTCTTCGATTAAACTGGTGATGAAAATAAATGGGTCCTGCATAATCGGCTGAGACAGACTTGCATCACTTGAACATACGGCGAATGCATTTAGGCAATACACTTACTAATGCTGGTGGAGGCAACATGTGGCAGCAGTATTTTGCATTTCGCCGATATTGAACTAGGATTATTTTGAGTGGTGTACTCAAAATAATCCTAGTTCAAGATTGGCGAAACGCAAAATACTGCTGCCACATGTTCGCACTGGCTGCTTCATGTTGCTAAATGGCTATTTTTGCTAATTTAA